GAAAGGAATGATGGCCAAGGACCTCCTCATGTCCTGCAGGCCTCTGACATCAGGAGACTCTGCTGGGCAGTTGATAGGGATTGCCCAAATCAGGGTTCACCACCAAGGCAGAATTGCTTCCCTTCATCAGTTAGCAAACAGATCAAATGATGCCCCAGGGAACTCATTTAATCTCACTTAAATAAGGCCCCGGCTGCTTTATTAAAAGGCTGTCCACAGCAACCAGTTCATGGGAACTGCTTTTGGCCCGTGCTGCAAGAGGATCCGGCTCCTTATTAATGATCCATTTGCTCAATTACACGCTGTGTATCAATACGGCATGGCCAAGGTTTAAATATTTTAACACGAAATTGCAGGGGGATGGAATGACGTCTCCACAACCTGTGGGAAATCTACTGCTTACAAAATTCCACTTCACGCTGTCTCTCCTCCTTACATTCGCAGAATCAAAGGGGATTTGGAACCCAAGACAACCTGGGATAGTGGCCACACAAGAAAGGACAAGGTCATTTCTGAAGCCTCATGGCCAAGGGTTTGATCATGGTTTTACCAAGTGTCACGACGTAAGCTCACTCTAAGGAGTGAGGCTCTCTAAATTTTTGTCCCAGTTCTGCTGTGTGCTGGTGCTACTAACACAGGACAAAATGACACCAAAAGTTAAAGGAACATAGTGTTGGGTTTGTATGGGGGCGGGGGCTCAAAAGGACACAGACAGATTCCTGAAGAATAAGGAATTTACTACAAGGGTTATGAACTCTGTGGACAGCCAAAGTGGCAACAATATGCTGAACATTCTGTAGAGTTTGGGCTGCAGCTCCAGAGACAGGCAGCATGGTGGAGTCTCAGCAGAGGAGGGAGCTTCTTCTGGGTTCAGGTCAAGCCAGCAGCTAGGCTCTCTGCTTCCTGGGCAGGAGCAGGGAGGGGAGAGAGTGAGGAACAGAATGTGTGCCCTTTGTGTAGGTGCACTTCCCAAGTGAGATTATGGACATATCCCAGGAGGGTGCCCATCAGTATCTGCGAAGGGGCTTGGCAGTGGGATTCTAACACTACATTCTCCCACACAGGAAGGGGGAAAAGTCTCTCACCCTGGAGTCTGATGTTTGTTTCATAGGACTTGGGTCAAGAAACTTCAATGCAGCTCATAAAGCCAAAATCTCATTCAGAGAGAGTTGTGTCTTGTTAAAGATATCTCAAATGAGAATGTCAAAAGCAACAAGCTGTAGCTACTTAGAGTGTGGGTACCAAGCATGAAGCCTTAAATTTCATCCCCAGCCCCATATTTCAAATAAAGATGGGTGCCTGAGTGAGATCCTACCTCAAAATAAACTCAATCAATTGGACCAATGGTTCAGTGGGTAAAGGTGCCTAAAGCCCTGAGTTCAATTCCCAAAACTCACATAGTAAAAAAACAAAAACAAAAAAAAAAAAAAACCAGCAAAGCAAAAACAAGCAAACAAAAAACCTAAATTGTCCTCTGACTTCCACATAAATTCCCATTCTCAGTATCTTTCTCTTTTTAAAATAGTGTAATAAAGTATTTTAGAAATCTTTCTGGAGAGATGGCTCAGTGGTTAAAAGCACTTACTGCTCTTCCAAAGGACCAGGGTTCAGTTACCAGTTCCCACATCGGGTGGCTCACTGTAACCTGTGACTCCAGTTCCAACATGCTCTGGCCTCAGTGGGCACCTACATGCATAAGATGCACGTAAATTCATGCAGACATACATACATACATACATACATACATACATACACATAATATATGATATAATCTTTCATGTCATGTCATAAATATATGAATTAATCTTTAAAATGTCTTAGAAATCAGTCATAAAATCAATTGTTTTTCAGTTTCTGCTGGTGGGCTTTTAAAGCATGAAAGGGTGATTTCAGTGTCCCACATACTTCTGTTAAACAGATACCAACCGGCCAGCAGCTCCCCAGATGCCTGGAGGCAGCTGAGTTCATCCCCAGTGGTCCAACCTGGAACCCACGCTGAGAGCGAGTGTCAGCTGAGGAACAAAGAGGGGCATTAAGGGCAGAAAAACCCCTTTGTGCCTCCAGAGCCACCAGTTCCGCTTAGTTATGTAGCTATTTGAGAGACAATAGTGTTTTGTCAACGTTAGCAAAGTGTCTTTGTCTGTGGAGAAGCTGCAGATCTGGATACAGACAAGAACAGGACGGAAGAAGAGAGGCCATGGCTGTGACCACCTTCTAGAGAACTCTTTGAAAACGACTGGATGCAATTTGCTGTTTGTTTGTTTGTTTGCTTTGGTTTTAGAGACAGAGTCTCCGTGCAGCCCTGGCTGTCCTGGTACCCTCTGTGCAGACCAGGCTGGCTTCAAACTCACAGAGGTCATCCTGCCTCAGACTCCCAAGTGCTGGAAATTCACTATTTGAAGACCTTCCTATTTTTTTTTTAAATCGGGGGCAGAGGAGGCTTGAGATAGTGTCACACGTGGCTCAGGCTACCTTGTAGCTCACAATGATTTTGGTCTCCTGAGCCTCTTGTCTCTGTTATTCTCTCACCTACTGCTAGGCTAGGCATGTACCAATCACATCGGATTGTGAATTTTTTTTATAACCTAGGCATGATAAACTGAGTTTACATTTATAAGGCCCACACAGCAGATCATTTTTCAGCCCTGGTTTCAGAACAACCCCAGAAGGTGAGGACAGGCTCTCTCTTTGACTCAGTGAGTGAGTGGGTTCTGAAGCTTACAAAGCGTGAGTTGCCAGGATCGGTAGGGACTTAGAGTCACCACCGCTACCCCTCAGAGATGTCTTGAAATGCTTAAATTACATTTACTGCCGGGCGGTGGTGGCATGTGCCTTTAATCCTAGCACTCGGAGGCAGAGGCAGGCAGATCTCTGAGTTTGAGGTCAGCCTGGTCTACAGAGCTAGTACCAGGGCAGGCTCCAAAGCTACACATACAAACCTTGTCTCAAAAAACCAAAATAATAATAATAATAGTAATAATAATAATAATTGTTTTTATTTGGGAGGCTGTGCATGTGGAGTTCAGAGAACAGCTTGCGGGAGCCTGTTCTCTTCTTCCAGCATTTGGACGCCAGGGATGGAACTCCGGTCCTCGGGTCTGAAGGTAGGTACCTTTACCCAATGCGTCATCTCAGCAGACTTTTCTCCTTTACATGGCATCTTCAAATAGCCCAGGCTAGCCTCAAGCTCATGGCAAGATGAGGTTAAGCTAGCCTCCTGCCTCTAAACTTCTGTGCTGGGGTTATAGTTGAGCACCACCATATGAAATTATGAGGTGCTGTGCATTGAGATCAGGGCTTTGTTCATGCTGGGAGAGCACGCCTCCAGATGAGATACAGCCTCTCAGGTGGTGGTGGCGCATGTCTTTAATCCCAGCACTTGGGAGGCAGAGGCAGGCGGATCTCTGTGAGTTCGAGGCCAGCCTGGTCTACAAGAGATACAGCCTCTCATCTGGTATTTTTCATCTGCTTGGTATGGAGTGAGCTCTGTGCTGGGATGGACACACACACACACACACACACACACACACACAGTCAATCACCATGACAACCTTATGCCAAAGTGGGCCATGAAACAATGTGGATCTAGTGCTTCAGACCAAAGTAACTGAGTTTCACCCTCTGGAGTCACAGCCCCATGGCAAAGAAGGGGAACCAGCCCTACAGCCTGCCTGGACAAGAGGACAAGTCACAGTAAGAGCCAGAATTCAAGGTGCATTTCCTCTTCATCAGAGCCTGCTGTAGGAACTTCCAGATGTCCACGGCCATCACCATGATTTGGAAAGCCAGGGATGCCCACTTTAAAGATGGGCAGCAGAGAGTTGATTGGGAGGGAAGTAACCCACATTGCCAGCCTCCCACCCTGGGAACCAGTCGTGTGTAATGATGCCTCCTGTGGGCCTCCATGGTTTATCTGACTAGGAAAACAGAAGCATGTGGGCTCACAGAGGTGGACCAAACAGGAAACCTGTGCATATCCACCAGCTGAGAGGGGATCTTACAAAGAAGGCTGGGGTTAGCAGTAGGGGTGGGGTGCAGCAGACTGGTGTTTAGGACACTTTGGCACTCATTCATATGATGAATGACTATAGTCTACTACTATATTGGGCCACATTCATAGCTGTCCTGGGACACATTAAGCCCATGGGTCACAGGTTGGACACACTTGCAAGACATTTCAGTATAATTATTTATAAAACCTTGTCTTCTCTCTCTCTCTCTGTCTGTGTGTGTGTCTCCCCCCTTTTCTCTCTCTTTGTGAGTATGTGTGTGTGTCTTCCCCCCTTTCTGTGTGTGTGTGTGTGTGTGTGTGTGTGTGCACTCACGCATGCGCTAGCTTGGCAAGCATTCACCTCTGTACTTTGCTTTCAGCTCTAAATCTTGTGTGATAACAGGGAGTGCCATATGTCACAGGTACCTACTATGTGTCAATCATGTGGCTTCCGGGACACCAGTCACTTCTGTTACTCTCCACCATAAGCCTGTTGAACTGCCCCCATTTCTCCAAGGAGAGACTGAAGCTCCAGGAGGCAGAGTGATGAAACCCAGAGAAGGAATCCAAGGCATGCCCCAGCTCTGGCCTCAGTGCAAAGATCTGGTCCAGGAGGCCAAGGATCTGGGCTCAGTCCTAGGCAACCAACTGCCTCCCTGTAAGACACTCAGACGTACTGTATCTACATACTCAGACTGGGAGGCTACATCTCCATCCCCTATTTTTGTTTCTATGTAACCCAGGAGGACTTTGAATTTCCGATTATCCTGTTTCAGCCTCTCAAATGCTGGGATTGCAGGCACATACCACCACACTAGATCTTGTATTCTATCTGCTAGGCAGTGTTCCAAGAGTCATGACAGATGGAAGGGGGTGGCCAGGCAAAGAAGTCAGGGCAGCGGAATAGTTCAGCAATTCTTTCCCATTCCATGGTCTGAGATGCCCCCTCTCCTTTCCACCATAGCTGACCTCCAGCCACAAGAGGGACCGAGAACCAGGGGTCACTCACCGCCATGACCAGCTCGAATGGATACTTGTACACTCGGACAGGAGACTGGTATTTTTGCACCATGTTCAAACTCAGACACCACCAGGACAGGGTGAGCACAGAGCCTGGGAACAAAGCGTTACTAGTGAGGCGGATATGATTGCCAGCGGCTCCTGGCCAGGTACCACCCCTCTGAGAACAAGCATGACATCTCCCCATCCCCACTCTTCCAGAGTCCTCCATAGGTACCCTCAAAGCCACCCACTCAAACAGGCACATGCATTTCAACTCTTCCATTTCCACGATTGTCCTCACATAGTCTCCCCATGGCATGCCGTGCATATCCTGCCCTATTGCCCACCCACCACCCCCAGTTTTTTTGTGCCTGCCGGTTCATGTTCCTGCGGAATACCCTGATACATGCACCCTTCTGTACATTTCCCCTGCACTCCACGCCCACACAGAACAGACCTTGTACACGCAGCACAGAACTTTGCACAGACACTCTGCTCTCTGTAGCAACTACACGCACACACACACGCGCACACACACACACACACACACTATTCCCCAGGTGCATACAGTGCTCACCCACACAAAGCTATTCAAACACTCTATGCAAGCACGCGCAGGCCCCACAGTCCCGCTCACCCTTGGAGCTGCTGGAGACACAGCACAGTGCTCTGGCACCTGCTTGACCAGGGAGCTGAGCTCGCCAGAGTCCCAGCAGACACCTTTCCTGGAGCACAGAGCCTTGGAGCTCAACAGCCTCAGCCTGGCACCAGCCTCTTGCTCAATCCTACATACACGGTGGCCGGCCCGCAAAAGAAGGACCAGAGAGGTGACAGACGTGTCCAGCCTGGAGAGCTCCAGGACCCGGGACAGCGGGAGAACTTAGCTTGACTTGGCCCCGCCCCTAGAGGTTTATCTTGCTCCCTGATTGGTCTGGTACCAACCCACACTGGCCGTACTCTGCCCGCTGTCTTATACCTTGCCCCTCGTTTTTACCCTTCCCTCGCTTGGTCACGCCTTCAGCCCCGCCCTTTCTTCCAATTGGCCACAGCTCGAGAAAGCCCTGCCCATGTTGAACGCGTCCACAGTCATCCAGACTCAGCAAAGGTTCCGCCCCTACCCAATCTCCGCCCCCATGAAGATCCAACCCCCAGGCCCTGCACCCCTTCACCTCGCTCTGTGTAACCTCTCCTTCATCCACTGGGATGAACTTTTTGTTGTTGTTTGGTTTGTTTTGAGGCCGACCTGTCCATCCCCGAAATCAAGGCTAGACTGCCTCAAGTGCGGGGATTACAGGCGTGCGCCACCACGCCCCGGCTGATAGCTGGCCTTGAGCTCAGCTCCTCCACCTAGTCGCTTCTGAGGCAGCAGTGGTCCAGATCTTCCTTTCCGGAAGCATTGTTTAAAGCATTGTTTATTCACCATTCACACCTTTGCAGAGTGCCCACTGTCAGGCCCTCGGATATTAAATAAATTCGGCAGGCTGGAGAGATGGCTCAGCAGTTAAAATATGTACTGCTTCTCCAGAGTAGCGGAGTTAGATTCCCAGCACCCAAGTCAAGCGCTTGCAACATCCTGTAAGCCCACCTCTGGGGACAACCAGCTCCTCTGACCTCTGTAGGCACCTGAACATACCTACACATACACATACGTAATTTAATTTAAAATAACAAAAATAAATGTTAAGAATAGAGTAATATTTGTTATTTGATCATTTAGACGTGGTGAAAAGTGCAGAGAAGGAGATAACCGGGAAAGGAGTGCACGGGGTGACTCTGGGAGGGAGGTATTTGCCTATTTTTCTAATTTTACCCGCATCCAAACCCTGCCAGTCTTCCCAGGGTGCGCAGGGACCAATCTCACTCCCGTCAGCCCTCCCGTTTCCCAACCTGCTGTTTCACCTTGCAAGAGCAAAGGAGATGGCCCCGGTATCGCTGCCAACCTTTTGTTGTGACTGCCCAGGGAGCGGCAAGATCTTACCAGGACCTAGTAGACAGCGTGTGCTAAGTGCTATCTAGGTTAAAAAGTACAGAAATAGGAGTCAAAATTTCCAGACTTACCACAAGGTGGCAGCAAAAGATAACCCAATTTGCCGCAGGGTATGGCTCAGCACCAGGTGTCTTATCCTTGCTGGACTCGCTGAGAGGACCTTGTTCTCTGCCCCGGGATCAGCAAGGCACAGTGACACTGTCATCTGGTGTTTTCCAACATCACAGTTAAATCACAACCTCCTTTGCTCCAAACCTTAAGGGGAGATGTGATTGCACTAGGAGAAATAGTGGGTGACGTGTTGGGGAAGTCTGAGGAAAGGGGGTGCATGTGTGGACCAAGCTCCCTCCTGCCCCAGACCAATGAACGTGAATTTAATATCACCACCTCCACCCACACAAACCTCTTCGTGGCTCAGTTCTGCTAATTATCTCTACCACTTCATTTGTACGAACCCATCCAGATCTCTTCTAAAGACTCTCAAACACAAATGCACTCAATCCCCAAGACAGCTGCTGTAGTGAGGGACCGGCTTGGAACTCGAGGGAGGTGGTGTAGGCAGAGCACTGTGGTTTATTAAATGCCATCAAATGGTCTACACTAAGATGGCTGGTTGTACGTTCTCTAAGTTTCACCTCAACTGAAACAAAAACGGGGGAGCTGGAGAGTTGGTGGTGTTCGCCTGGCTCCCACGAAGTTCTGAATTTCACCCTCCGTACCACATGTACCCCGTCTGTACTATCAGCACTCAGATATGAAAACAAGAGGACCAGAAGTTCAAGGTCATCCTCACTATGCGGCAAGTTTGAGACCAGCATGGGTTACATGAGGGCCCGACTCAAAAAAGAAACAGGGGCTGGAGAGATGGCTCGGTGGTTAAGAGGACCCAAGTTCAATTCTCAGCACCTACACTGGGTGGCTCATGCCTGCCTTTAACTCCAGCATTAGGATCCCCAACGTCCTTTTCTGACTTCCAAGGTACCTGCACATATGACATACACTCATACAACCAGGAACAAGTAAATAAACCAAAAACAAGTCATAAGTATAAACAATAAACCAGTAACTTGGGTGTAGGGAGATGGCTCAGTGGATAACAGCACTTGCTAAGAACGTGTGAGCAGTGGGAGGGGACGACTCAGCCCACACGTGAATTCCAGGCAGGTGTGGCAGCCCACCTGCAACCTCAGCATGCGTGCAGAAGATGGAGATCCCTGGAGCATGCTCACTAACAGAATTAGTGAGCTTTGGATTCAAGTGAGAGGCCCCACCTCAAAATGTAAGGTGGAGAGGCAAGTGGATCTCTGAGTGTGAAGCCAGCCTGGGCTACAGAGTGAATTCCAGAATAGCCAGGGCTACACAGAGAAATCCTGTGTCTTTGTTAGGGTTACTATTGCCGTAATGAAACACCATGACCAAAAGTAACTTGAAGAGGAAAGGTTTTCTTTGGCTTACACTTCTATCGCTGTTCATCATCAAAGGAAGTCAGGATAGGAACTCACACAGGGATACTGCTTTTTCATCATGGCTTGCCCAGCCTGCTTTCCTGCTTTCATTCTTTCTTTCTTTCTTTCTTTCTTTTTTTATTTTTGAGACAGGGTTTCTCTGTGTAACAGCCCTAGCTGTCCTGGAACTAGCTCTTGTAGACCAGGTTCCAGGTTCTAGGTTGGCCTCGAACTCATAGAGATCCACCTACCTCTGCCTCCCAAGTGCTGGGATTAAAGGCATGGGCTGTCACTGTCTGGCTCACTCTGCTTATATAGAACCATCCTAGGAATAGTACCACTCACAATGGGCTGGGCCCTCCCCCATCAATCACTCACTAAGAAAATGCTCTACAGGTTTGCCCAGAGCCAGATCTTAGGGAGGCATTTTCTCATTTGAGGCTGCCTTCTCTCTGATGACTCCAGCTTGTGTCAGGTTGACATAAAACACCCTTGTCTCAAAACCAAAACAAAAGAAAGAAAGGAAGAAGATACTTAGCTTCCACATACGTTCACACACACAAGCATCTACATCCTCAGGCACACGCATGTGCACACATACACACAGTTAAATAAAATACATATAGCATGAGCGTGTCTATTGTAAGCATCTTACTGTGCAGTGCAGCAGACCTCAGTGCATTCACAAGGCTGTGTAACCAACCTGACAGTCCTGGGAGGGGCTTCATAACACCACCCCTCCCAGAAAGCCTACACCCATGAAGCAGTCTCTGTCTCAGCCTGCCCAGCTGCTGCTTCTGAAAGCTTTCTCATCTGCCCCCGAAGGCCTAGAATCTAGGATTCTAGATTGTATTCTTTTTTGTTTGTTTGTTTGTGTTTTTGTTTTTTGATACAGGTTTTCTCTGTGTAGCCCTGACTGTCCTGGAACTAGCTCTGAAGACCAGGCTGACCTCAAACTCACAGAGATCGCCTGCCTCTGCCCCCTGAGTCCTATGATTAAAGGTGTGCGCCACCACCACCTGGCAAAATTGTGTTCTTTCTCCAATTCTCAGCACACAGCCCAGGGCCTCCTGGTTGGGGGCCATCTAGGGCCACCCAGGTCACAGTCAGGGCTCCTGAGCACAGTTGCTCAGGTTCTAACAATGCCACACAGAGTTCCTGGTGCCTTTGCAGCCTTGATGGACAGAAGCGTGGTCTAGAGGGGCTGACCCAGGGGCTGACCCAGGGGCCTGCACTGTGGGTCCCTACCCACTCCAATCCCCAGCCTGTCCCAAATCTTTTCATTTCCATAAAGGCTTCTGGACTCCACCCCGAGTCACCTGTGAGCCAAAGGTCACAGAAAAGTGAGAAGACTTTAAACAGTGGAGAATCCTCAGCTTGGAGTGAAGGGGCTCACAGGGGTGGCCCAGCAGGCAGTGTGGATGCTTTCACAGATCCACCCTAGTGAATTCGGGCTCTCTGCTCACAGAGGCGTGGCCATACTGTTTCCTCTTTCATTTTATTTCACTTTAAATTTTATTTTTATTTTAAATTCTCTGTATGTGTGTGCGTCCATGTATGGTATGTGAACAGGAGGACCGACACTGGCAGAGCCAGAGACATTGGATGCCCTGGAGCTGGAATTAGAGGCAGTAGTGAGCCACCCAACATGGTGCTGGGAATTGAACTCTGGTCCTCTGTAAGAGCAGCAAGCAAGCTTAAATGCTGAGCCATCACTATAGCGATTATGTCTGTCTTTTTTTTTTTTCCGACAGTCTCCTACACAGCCAAGGCTGGCCTTGAACTTACCATGCTTCTATCTAATCATCCTCTCAACTCAGCCCCCTGAGATCTGAGATTATAGGTGTGAACTAGCACAGCTTTGGTCAAGAATTTTGTTTGTTTTATCCAGAGTTGGGGACAGACCCTAGGGCCTCCTCTCCGCAGGCTGCTGGGCAGCGGCAGTGTCCCCACCCTTCCTTCCTTTCTGTGACTGAGTCACACTCCTCCATGGACAGGGCACATTTCAGCCATCGGCGGAACAGCATCTGGGCTGACAGTGTGGCCGTCACAGGTGGATAAGAAGCGTGTGAGCAATGGGGAGATAACCCTGACAAACAGCCGGCCAGACAGGCCACAACGCCCCAGGAGCCTCGTGGGTTCTGAACCTGGGCACACTCCCTCCGAATCTCTTGGTTGTTTCTTGTGTGGTTGATTGGAGGTTTTTGAGGCAGAGTCTTACTCTGTAGCCCAGGATGCAGCCCAATCAACCTCCTGGTGACTCACTAGATCATCCAGGCTGGACTCAAACCTAGCTGCATCAACCGCTTGTGTGCTGGGGTCTCAGGCGTGAACCACAGCTCTTTGTTTTCTGTTGTTCTTTATCAGGACTTACCACACAGCCCAAGCTAGCCTTCACTTTACACTCCTCTGCCTCAGTCTCCTGAGCCTCCAATAAGAGGTGTGCACCATCATGCCCAGCTCCTGGGTTTTGAATACATCTCAAAAAGGGCAGAGACAGG